TTGATTTTTAAAGTGGAGTAAAAAAAAAAAAAAAAATGCCTCTTTCACAGTCACAGTGGCTTTAGTGGGTTTCATTATCGTCATAATTCAAAATGCAAATGAGAAGTTGGAGTAAAAAAAAAACAAAAATTTTACGATTTTTAAAGACGCGAGCGTCGCGTCTACGCCAGCGTAATACTAATTGTAAAATATAGTGGAGAAACTTATGGGAAAATGAAAGAAAAGTAAATCGCCGAGTGAAGTATATTTAACACATACATCATGTAGTGGCGAAGGAACATTTAGCGAATGCAAGTTCATTGCCTTTAATGCTAATCAAAATCAAAGCAGTGAATGGTATTTGTAAGCTCTTAAAATATTCTAATTGCTCTAACGTTCGTTACAATTTCTTACGACAAAACACGCCGCCGCCACTTACGGTATTGCCTCAAAATAACATTAAACCGTCTAGTGGTAGTAATGTAATGAAGAGCCCTTGGTAAGTAAATTAAACGTTACTTCGTTCGATTGCTGTGCAGGAGAGTTTGAAGGAGGAGCGCGACAAGAGCCAAGGCATACACACCTCCACGACATCAAATCTGTCGGACAGCGACTCAAAAGACAGCACGGGCATCAATGTGAAAAGGAAGAAGAATATTTATGGACTGCCGGGCAGGTCCGGATCGAAAATGTTGCGATTCGGTACGAACGTCGATCTCTCGGACGAGCGGAAGTGGAAGGCGCAGCTGCAAGAGCTGATGAAGCTTCCGGCATTCGCCAGAGTCGTATCCGCCGGTAACATGCTCAGTCATGTTGGCCACGTGATCCTGGGGATGAATACCGTTCAGCTTTATATGAAGGTTTGCAGATTACTTTAAGGCTCTTGTAAGGTAAACATCGAGATATTAAGAAGCGGCTTTGAACAATGAGCATTAACGCTTTCAACCTTAACATTAGCCTGCTGCTAAATGTCGTTGAGAAGCTTGTTGAGCTAAGCCGCTCGGTTTTAGTCATTCCGTGTTTCCGTTTTTGAATTGCCCTTTAAGCTTGACCCTTTAAATTGTACCGTGTCAGTTAGATAAATAAATAAATCTTTGGCGCAGAAGGCTAAATAAATGGGTTAGACCGAAGACTGTCATTTGCTTTTCGTTTAGGTCCCTGGCAGCCGAACACCGGGCCATCAAGAGAACAATAACTTCTGCTCCATAAACATTAACATCGGGCCCGGAGATTGCGAATGGTTTGCCGTACCCGATGCCTACTGGGGCGTCATTCAATCTCTCTGCGAGCGCAACAACATTAATTACCTGCACGGCAGCTGGTGGCCATCTATGGAAGATCTATATGAAGAAAATGTCCCTGTTTATAGGTTTTTGCAAAGACCCGGTGATCTCGTTTGGGTCAATGCTGGTACGTGATTACCCTTTATATTGTTTTTGGTAAAGAGACCAACCCTCCTAGCATTATTAGTAAGAGACTAATGAGTTGCGATTGAATTGCAATGATTAATAATCGGATTAATGAGGATTTTCAATAAAAAGCCGAGGGATATGGAATGTCGTTGTAATGCCATAAAGTCCGTGATGTATTAATGTTTAAATAGTACGAGTAAATATTATCACCTGTCAATAATATCGGTGTTTGCCTGTTATTAATAGCAACCGGTTTTTTTTTTTTTTTTTAATTTTTATTTTACTACAAATTTCAAAACTCGTTACAAGAGAGAGAGAGAGAGAGAGAGAGAGAGGGATAAATTCCATGCTTTGAATTTTTTTACATCAAATTTTTTATAATTCACTAACTACTAATTAAAAAAAAAAAAAGCTATAATTCACACTAAATACACTTTTTCCATTGATTTAGACCCAATTGTACAAACTTGTCCACTTTATATTTACATACACAATGTATATTTGTGTGCTTTTCATTTCATTTCTTTTCTTTTTTTCTTTTCTTTTCTTTTTTTTTAATTTCATGCAACGAACTCGATGAATCGTTAATATACCGATAAAAGAAAAATATGATGCGCGAGCCAACTGAAAATCAGATATAATAAATAGCAAGACAATCAGAGCTGCAATGTGGATTCATTCTGTCCTAGTTTAAGAGCACATGCGTAAGTCACGCAAAGCAACATGCTTAATGATCTTTTCGAGAACCGCTAATTTTCTTAAATCGACAGCTCTCATCATTATTTCTGTGCTCCAAACATCGTAATCATCATAATTATTATTTACATCGTTAAGCACTTGTTTAACCGATTTTATCGACAATATTCTAATATTGCTTTTGCCTATATAATGATTTTCTCAATTTTAATTTTTCTACTAAACCATCAGATTGCTCATTTGTTATTCTGTGACATCTAACTCTCAGGCCTTAATGCAATTAGTTTAATGCAATTAGTTAACTAATTATAATTAACCAGGCGTTAATTTAAACGATTATAAAGATCTTCAATTCCACGCTGATTGTCGCGCGCAATCAAACAAGGACACTACGCTTCTTTTATTATCTAGCTTGTCCACTTACGCGCTCGTGTACACGTAACAACAAAACTTAATATCTTTCTTACCTTGAGAATCTCGTACGACTCATGCAATAGGCATTAAAAAATTACATCCAGCATATTCTTGCCTATTGAAAAACATTTGAAAGCTTCGTCTTAAATAATTTCCACGTCATTAGCTCACAATTTCCAATCGCTGTTCCAGGTTGCGTGCATTGGGTGCAGGCAGTTGGCTGGTGCAACAACATCGCCTGGAACGTGGGCCCGTTAACGGCACGGCAATATCAATTAGCCATCGAGCGTTACGAATGGAACAAGCTCCAGTCGTTCAAGTCAATTGTGCCGATGGTGCATCTTTCGTGGAATCTTGCGAGGAACATTAAAGTGTCGGATCGCCGGCTCTTCGAGCTCATCAAGAATTGTCTACTGAGGACGATGCGACAATGCTGCTTGATACTCGAGTTCGTCAAATCTAAAGGGGTGGAGGTGCGCTTTCACGGCAGAGGAAAAAACGAGGCATCGCACTACTGTGGCCAGTGTGAGGTAATTGAAGCACATTTTTCAATTATATTAACTCTCGACATTTACTAGACATAGGTTTATCTTTGGTAGGCCTTCATTCGTTTAATGGGAGCAAAATAAAAAGTATTTTTAGATTGTTATGATATAATTGTATAGATAATATATGTAGCACGAGTTCGTTGACCAATTATATTCAACAAAAGTCCAATTTCATTTATTATACTTGATTCGCCATAAAGCCATGTATCATTATTAAATTAGAACAATTTTTTATTCGAAAACTCATCCAATCCATCAACAAAACATCAACAAAACATCCATCTTCCTTATCATCGATTACAAATAGATTTATATCAAATATATAGTCAAATGCCTCTTTAAAGCCGTTAATTAAGCCTTATTTATAAGCTCGTTCGTTTTTATTAATTTTATTTTGCAATTATCATAGATCGAGGTCTTCAATATACTCTTTATACGTGAACAAGAAAAGCGTCACGTTGTTCACTGCATGGACTGTGCTCGAAAGCAGTCCCCGTCACTCGAGGGTTTTGTCTGCCTTGAGGAGTATAGAATGCGCGATCTCATGGATGTCTATGATAATTTCACTCTCCACACGCAACAACAACAACAACAACAACAACAACAACAGCAGCAGCAGCAGCAGCAGCAACAGCAGCAGCAGCAGCAACAGCAACAGCAACAGCAGCAGCAACAGCAGCAGCATCAGCAGCAGCACCACCACCACCACCACCACCACCACCACCACCAACAACAACAACATCAACAACAACAACAACAGCAACAGCAGCAGCAACATCAGCAGCAACAACAACAACAGCAGCAGCAGCAGCAACATCTGCAGCATCAGCAGCAACATCATCAGCAAAATCAGCAAAATCCGCAGCATCAGCAGCATCAGCAGCATCAACAACATCAACAGCATCAACAACATCAACAACATCAACAACAGCTGACGCCACCACAAACAAGTTCTCTAATTTCCTGAGACGATGAGGAACACAGATACTTGAACTATCTAGGGTTAGATTAAATCTGACATCAAAGTTCGTGTCTCTGTGTCGAGGAAGCTAAATGAGAATAAAGCACAGACACGATGAATCGCTCACGCAAAAGAAGAAAAAAAAAAATGATGTGATATGTTGCCAGCAAAATGACGGTTAAGAAATTGAAATCGAGGTGTTTGTTTCACCTCAACAATTTTTCTTGCTTTCTTTTCAATCGCGAACATTGCTGGGACAATTATATTTTTAGCAATTCTGAGAAATCTTTTTTGCTGTATAGAGCTAAAACAAGTGTTAAGTCCGTGCAAAGTGCGAAAAGTGTAAGTTACCCCTTCCCGCTCGTTTAACGAAAAATAATGCTTTCGTTATATAGTGTACAAAGGACAAAAAACTTCTTAGCTTAATTGTTTCTGTCTTTCTTACTCCTTTCTCCCGCTATCCTTTTTACATCTGTAAAGGAATTAACTATTATTATTGTAAAATATACATAGCCCCTCTTTCTTTCGGCGTGTGATATATATAAATATATAAAATCATTGCTCTTATTGATGAAATATCTTATAAATGAAATTTATGAGGTAATGATAAAATTAAATCATGCTAACGATTTTTTTTTCTTCTTTTTGTTCTTAATCGTGTAATTATGAGGGTTATTAATTGTTTTTGTAAATCGGTGTTTATGCATACAAGAATTACATACGAAGTCGTGCACTTTGATCACATTGAATTTCTAGGGAAACAATTAACATTGAAATTCAATTGCCACACAAACAATAAATTAATATGCTGGCTGGCATGTGATAGGCGTTTGAAATTTTTTAAAGCACCGCAATCGCGTTTTAGAATATTGTAATAATAGCTCTTCGGAAAACAATAATTATGCAAGAGAAAAAGTTTTTTCATTCTCTGACGGAATTATGGAGAAATAATTGAAAATCGCGCTTAAATTCTTAAATTGTAAATATCTTAATTATCGGAAAACGTGAAAATATTATTACCGAGCATTAATGAAGAATATAAATAAGACAAATAAATATAAAAACTTTAAAACAGTTGGAAAATTACTCAGGAACGTAAAATTAATCATCATTAAGGGAATAGAAAAAGGTAATCAAAAATATTCATGTACATGTGTTTGTATTCTTGATGAAAATGTTTTGACTAATAATTGCATATATGCTGTGATTTTCTTACAAATACACGCATTTGTAAAGTGTAAAAATTGTAATGCCGAAAATAATTGAAAGTGTATAGAAATGGAAATCGTCGTGTTAACGTTTAAAAAAAAAGAAAAACAATGAAGAAAAAATTAAACGATTTTATTTTTGGGTGACATTTTTTCGAGTATATACTCGGGTATTTCTCGTCAGGAGAAATAAGCAATACGATATAATTAAAGTCAATAGATATTAGAAAGAAATAACTTGAATCCGCATCTCTTGAAACGTTCTCGCAATCTTTCATTTACTAAAGTTTTCACTTTTCGTGTTAATAAGATAGCATTGTCATTTCTCATGTTTTTGCGCAGTGTTTAGTCGCTAAATTAGATTCCAAATAGCCGTATTTAACGCTTTTATAATAATTATCATTGTTTCGTTGAATCAAAGCCTTATTTTAGTTCAATAATAGAACTAGATAGAAGCGCTTATCATTAATAAGCTACTTTGGCATTACTATTACTACTAATACTAATTAGCAATCTATTCACTCTTATCATTACGAATTCTTTTAATAAATTTAGATTTTTACTACTTTTCAAAAGCAATATTAAGTTATATTTTTGACACTTTTGATTTTATTAATGGATTTATATGCAATAATCCCTCGCCATCCGTTTACACGTAGCTTCTCATTATTCGCGATAGTGCAATTCTACCAGTATTACTTGCATTATTATCTAATGCAGACACAAAGCTATGATTCGTAAAGGATATCTCTTGTGCTTATAATTAAAATGATAAATCTGTCGATGACGGATAAACATTTCGATAGCTCGTATTCCAGCAACCAATCTCAGTTTCTCTAAAATTAATAATAAAGGAGGATTGAAGAAAGAAATTATAGAAAAGTGCTTAGTTTTCATTTACGAATACAGTTTCTACAATTAATGTGTCTTTAACATTCCGATTATTATTATTAGCTCCAACCATGATTAAATTTTTTTATTATAAATATCTAGTTTACTGTTCATTTGAATCAACGCAAGTTTATTTTATTTTCACGGATATATAATCTCTGAATAATTTACGTTCATTTGTTTAGTTTCGAGAAATAAAGTACTACGCATCGCTTGGCTTATCGATCATGAAAAAAGTCGCGTAAACACATAAATATTGAAACTTAAATCGAAATACTTGTATAATTAACAAAGGCTGCCGTTGTTATTATTATTATTATTAATATTATTATTATTATTATTATTGTTATTGTTATTATTATTCTTTAATGTGAAATGTAAAATTTGAAATACTTTGAATATTCTTAATTTGAAAAGAGATAGACGGAACGTAGGCTGCTTCAATGCCTATTATCCGGTAAGTGACAAGAGAAAATCGCCTAATCGTTCAAGCATTTCCTATCGATTTCGGTACGTTTGCCATTCATTTTCCCACATAACTAAGATGTATTCTGACATCGTAAAAAATTAGTAATAATAATAATAATAATAACAACAACAACAACAACAACAACAATAATAATAATAATAAACACAACAACAATAAAAAAGAAGAGGAAAAGAAGATGGTGGAGGTACTTAATTAAGACGCGATTGCACTCAATGATTGACTTATTGGAGAACGTTTCAAGATAAGACTCGAATCATTTAAAAATCGCCTCAGATTTTAGCAGACCAAGCACATTTGTAGCAAAATCATGCATACATTCATTCCGAATTTACAATCAATGTACTTGTACTTCGAACTTCGACCTTAACAATTTAATATAAATAAGCAAACAAAATAAAAATAAAAAGAAAAAATATAATTATAACGCTATCGTATGACTGTGTCAATTCGTTTAGATTCGAGAGAGATGAAGTAATTAACGATAAAGTGCGCACGTATTTTTGAAAATTTTGTGAAAGTGTATAGTTATAAAATTCAATAATAAATAGCAAATTATTACCGTATCCAAGTGTATCAGTAAACTTTGTGGAATTTGTTGCGCTGCAATAGAAAAGTAAAAACCGCGTATGGAAGAAACTTTAGCGAGTATTGACAAAAGTGTGAAGATGAAATCTTGGATCTATTTCTTTTGAAGTTTTTGAACCGACGTGCCCAATGATCTCAATCCCGCGCCAATATTGGCACTTGTCGGTGATGCGAAGGAACTCTGCCAATATTTAGATTTACACACGCACGCACACGCACGCACACACACACACACACAGACACAATATATATATATATATATATATATATATATATATATATATATATATATATATCAATATTTTTTCAATTTTTTCTTTCATTTCAAACTAGGAATTAAAGAAATTTAGTGTTCTTGCATAATAAGTATATTTAAAGCATTGAAACTCGTACGATATCATAAATTGATAGGTTATCATTTAGAAATCGGGATGTGGGGAAGGAGGGGGGAGCAAATTAGCGAACTAAATTAGGTAATGTTAAGAAAGAAATTATAGTGAAACTGAATGGAATTTAGGATCAAGTGAAACAAAGTTTAGAAAAATTTGAGAACATTTGACTGCCTCGTTGATACGCATGCATTATTATAATTATTATAATCGTAATTATAATTATAATTCATAATATTGTCGTAGTTTAAAAGAATTTTAGAATAAAATTACGATAATTATAGATATTACGTTTTTTATTTTTAATTTTGTGACTAGTTTGCTTCGCATGACGTAGGAACAAAATTATTTAGATAGAAATTAATTCAATTTCACTACAATAATTTCTTTCTGTGAATATTCGCTATATACAGATGGATATTATTTCGAATTATTCGAATGTAATATTTCGTTTAGTGCGATGACACGTCTTAGAAGCAGTTCGTTAGTAAATTAAATAAAGCTCGATAGATTTATATACACATACATATGCGTATATACGTACGCATCTATATCAATTAATGTATACATGCGTACGTACGTATGTATAATTGTGTGTATGTGTGAACGTGCGTATGTGTGCATATATGTATATAAATATATTATATTTGGAGCCGCCTTTCGACAAATCAATTTTATCGCAAATAATTTTTAACTTGACTAGTTGAATAAAGCTCAGATTTATCAAAACTTATCTTACTAAAATCTTATAAATGAAATTCTCTTGCTCTTCAACGAGATTGACGACGATGATTGTTTAAATAATTAATGATTTATTTAATTAACGATAGCACGAGCATCGTTATTATTATTTACATTATTTATTTCATCCTTACATCTGACATTTATTCAACCAAAATAAACGAATAAGGCGATAATAATGCGTGTTGTTAAGAAAGTTGAGGCTCGAATGATTTTTATTAGCTATATGAATTATTAAAATAAAATATCTGATTTATTTTGTGAATAATCGATTTTCATTTGTAAATATTGGTAATGATTTTTTTCTTTCGGCTGTCTTTTCTACTCTAGATGACAATTTATCATGATTGATGCGAAGATTTGTAATACATAAAGTTATTTATAATCATAGTGTACTTATGAAGTTTCTGTACCACGCATCACGTCCTTTTTTACATGTAATAGAGAATGAATGAAAAAAAAAAAAAAAACAACAAAAAAAACCATAAATCACTCTTGGAAATGTCCTATTTTCGTAAATATTGTGTAGCGTTGTACGTTATTCGCACCAGCGAAGAAACTTTCCAAATTTTTCCAGCGAACTAATGAAAAATTCATTATAACAATTGTAATTATAATGTATTTTTTATTTATTTTGCTTAGTTAACAATAAATTAACCCATTTTAAGCG